AAGTGGGGATAGCTATCTTCTTTGCAGACAGAATAGATTTCAAACCAAAACTAATGAAGGGAGACAAAGGCCACTACATCCTTGTAAAGGGAACAAAAGGAAGAAAAGACAACCATAAATATATATGCTCCCAACTATACAAAACAAATCTTAATGGATATGAAAAATGAAATAAGCACTAATACAACTGTAGTGGGGAACCTCAATACTCCACTGACACAAATAGATCATCTAGACAAAAAACAATGAAATAACAGAACTGAACCAAGTCTTAGAAAAAACAGACTTAGATGTCTAAATGTGTTCCACCCCACAAAATCAGAATATACATTATTTTCAGCTGCACACAGGTCATTCTCCAAAATAGACCACATGCGAGCTCACAGAACATACTTAAGTAAGTGCAAAGGAATTGAAGTTATCCCCTGTATATTATCAGACCATAGTGCAATTAAACTGAAGATTGGTAGTCTAAGAAACCACAAGAACTTTACAAATGCATGCAAATTAAATAACACCCTGCTGAACAAGCCCTGGGTCACAGATGAAATTAAAGAAGAAATTAGACAGTTTCTACAATTAAATGATAATGCCAATACAACATACAGGAATCTACAGGACACAATGAAAGTGGTTCTATGAGGGAAATTCATAGCAGTAAATGCCCATACCAGGAAAACAGAGCAAGCTCAAATAAACAACCTTATGCTTAAATTTAAGCTTCTAGAAAAAGAAGAGCAAGACAAACTGAAAGCTCATACAAGGGAGGAAATTATAAAGATCAGAGCAGAAATTAATGCAATGGAGACTAAGAGAACTATACAAAAAAAATCAATAAATTGAAGAGTTGGTTTTTCAAAAGAATAGATAAAATTGATAAACTCTTAGCCAACCTGATCAAAAAAAAAAAAAAGGAAAGAAAAGGCTCAAATTCACACAACTAGGAATGAAAAAGGTGAAGTCACAATAGATCCAGCAGAAATCCAGAGGATCATCAATACCTACTTCGAAAGCTTGTACTCTAAAAATGGAAGATATAGAAGAAATGGACATACATATGAACTTTCAAAGTTGAATGAATAAGATAGAAAAAGTCTAAACACCCCAATTACATTCAGTGAAATTGAAAATGTAATTAAAACATTACCAACAAAGAAAAGCACAGGTCCTGATGGTTTCACTGCTGAATTCTACAAGACATTTAGAGAAGAACTATCACCACTACTCTTTAAACTCTTCAATGAAATTGAAAGGGAAGCAGTACTTCCAAATTCATTGGAAGTTAGTATTACTTTGATTCCAAAACCAGGGAAAGACCCAACCAAAAAAGAGAACTATAGGCCAATCTCCCATAATGAATGGAGATGCCAAAATCCTCAATACAGAAGATCAGGAAGAAGATCATACACCCTGACCAAGTCAGATTTATCCCAGAGATGCAAGGAGAGCTCAACATACATAAATCAGTAAATGTAATATACTATATCAACAGAATTAAATACAAAAACCATATGATCATCTCAATAGATGTAGAAAAACCATTTGACAAAACCCAACACTCATGCATGATAAAAACCCTACAGAAAATTGGAATAGATGGTCTTTATCTTAACCTGACAAAGGCTATCTATGAAAAACCAACAGCCAATATTATTCTAAATGGTCAAAAACTGAAAATCTTCATGCTAAAATCAGGAACAAGACAAGGATGTCCACTATCACCACTCCTGTTCAATATAGTTCTAGAAACATTAGCCACAGCAATTAGACAAGAGAAAGAAATAAAAGTAATAAAGATAGGAAAGGAAGAAGTTAAACTGTCACTATTTGCTGATGATAAGATACTCTACATAGAAGGCCCAAAAAAATCTGCCAAAAGACTGCTAGACTTAATTGACAGATAAAACAGAGTAGCTGGATACAAAGTCAACACTCAAAAATCAATAGCCTTGGCCCAGGGATTTAGCTCAGTGGTTCCGCCACGTGCTTCGCAAGCACAAGGACCAAGTTCGATCCCCAGCACCAAAAAAATAAATAAATAAAAATCAATAGCCTTCTTGTACACAAATGACAGACTCACTGAGAGAGAAATTAGGGAAACGATTCCTTTCACAATAACATCCAAAAAAAATGAAATACCTAGGAATCAATCTAATGAAGGAGACAAAAGACCTATACAGTGAAAATTACAGCAATCTGAAAAAAGAGCTAGAAGAGGATATAAGATGATGGAAAGACATCCCTTGCTCCTGGGTAAGAAGAATAAACATAGTGAAAATGGCCATAGTTCCAAAACTTCTATACAAATTCAATGCAATCCTGACAGAAATCCCAAGTATATTTCACAGAACTTGAGAAAACAATCCAAAAATTCATTTGGAACCAGAAGAGACCTAGAATAGCAAAAACCATTCTAGGCAACAGAGATGTGGCAGGGGGTAACACAATCCCCAACTTGAAACTGTACTACAAAGCCACTGTGATAAAAACAGCATGGGGCCGGGGATTTAGCTCAGTGGTTCGATGGCCTGCCTTGCAAGCGCAAGGACCTGAGTTCAATCCCGGTACCAAACAAAAAACTTCATGGTACTGGGCCAGGGATTTAGCTCAGTGGTTCCACTGCCTGCCTCCCAAGTGCAAGGGCCTGAGTTTGATCCCTGGAACCAAACAAAGACAAAAAACAGCATGGTACTGGCAAAGAAACAGACCAGAGGATCAATGGAATAGATTAGAAGATGCAGAAACAACACCAGAGATACTCAGCTACCTCATCCTTGTCAAAGCAGCCAACTATCCTCACTGGAGGAAAGGTAGCCTCTTTAATAAATGGTGTTGGAAAAACTGGCTTTCAACTTGCCAAAGATTTAAACTAGATCCCTATCTTGCACTATGCACTAAACTAAAATCCAAGCGGATTAAAAATCTAAATATAAAAACAGAAACACTAAACTTACTGGAAAGTAAATTAGGTGGCACTTTCAAAGGCATTGGCATAGGAGAAGACTTTATGAACAAATCCTCAGCAGCACGAGAACTTGCACAAGAATCAACAACTGGGATTTCATTGTAGTAAAAAGTTTTTGCAGTGCAAGATAAATCACCAACAGAGCTAAGAGACAACCTACAATGTGGAAACAAATTTTTGCCAGCTACTCCTCAAAGGACTACTATGTAGAATATATAAAGAACTCAAAAAAATCAGACCCCCCCAAATACAAAGACCCAATTCAAAAATGGGCACCTGAAATGAACAGACATTTCTCAGACAAAGAAGTAAAAGCAGCAAATAAATATATGAAAAAATGTTCAGCATCACTGGTCATTTGAGAGATGCAGATGAAAACAACACTGAGATTCCACCTCACCCCACAAAGAATGGCTGCTATCAAGAAATCAACCAATAACAAGTGTTGGCAGGGCTGTGGGGAGAAAGGAACCCTTCTCCATTGTTGGTGGGAGTGCAGACTGGTGCAACCATTGTGGAAATCAACATGGAGATACCTCAGAGAACTAGGATTAGAGGTTCCATTTGACTCAGCCTTCCCTCTACAGGGTATCTTTCCAAAAGAATTAAAAGAATCATATCACAGTGATATATGTGCACCTGTGTTTATAGCAGCACATTTTGTAATAGCTAAAACTTGGAAACAGCCCAAATGCCCATCAACTGGAGACTGGATAAAGGTGGTTTTTCTATAAAATGGAATACTACTCAGCCACAAAGAATGAGAAACTAGAAACATTTATAGCTAATTGGATGCACATTGAGGCTATACTCTTTAAGTGAAATAATAGGACACATGAGTAAATACTGAAGTTTCTCTGGTGTGAACAGCTAAGTGTCAACAAGGTTCAAATGGTATAATTAAGAGTGTGAAATAGAAAGAAAATGGCTAAGGTAATAAGGGAAAAATATATGAGAAAATGGAAAAATGGAAATAAAATGTTTGTAAATGGGGAGAGGAGAGGTGAAGGGAAGGCAGGGACAAGGGGTAAAAATGAGAACCAAGACCTGTCATATAAAGGTACAAGATCCCAATGATGAATGTAACTGTACTGTACACCTAAAATGTACCAATAAACTCAATGAGAGGAAAAAAAAGAAAGAAAGAAAATGGCTAAAGGGGAAGTGGGATAGGGAGGGGAAAGGAAAGAAGGGAAAAGAAAAAATATGAAAAAATGGAAACAAAGTCTTTGTAAATAGGGAAGGGTGAAAGGGGTGAAGGGATGGTAGGAGTATGGGGAAAAAACAAGAACCAAGATAGACCATGTAAAGGTAGAAGATCCCAATGATAATTGTAACTGTGTCATTTGCTTTAAATGTACCAATAAACTTAATGGAAAAAAATTAAAACACCTTGTGACTCTATTTTCAATCATGTCTATCCCAAATCTGATCAACTAATTCAGGACCAAATCAAAGGAACTCTGTTCCTCAAACACCCACCTAGGACCATGCCCTTCAGACTGCACTTCCCATGGTCACCACCTGTGCTATACTCCAGAACAGGGGCTCAGTTTTGAAGTCTGGAATGAAGCAGTATGTGGGTTCCTATGTGAAGGTCTTAAAGCTTCCTCCTTCAGTTTACTTGACACTATACTGTGTGTGTTTCAGCGCTGTGCCTTGAAGTTAAGGTCTTTCTTAGCGTCAAGTAGATATTATATTCTTCTTTAACATTTTTTTCTTTGATAGTTTTGGTGAGCATTAGGATGGAAATATTTGGAAACATGGACCCCCCCCTTTCTGCCAGCATGCTTATGTTTAACACGTGTCTTAAATGCAATAGTGAAGATTACAGCCATAATACATGTAATAGCTAGAGCAGAATCTGCCAGACTGAATCCCACCAGTGCAACCTACAAGAATTATCTGTTCTTAAAGGACAGAATTCTTTCCCCAACAATCACATTTTTACTCAAGTATTTCATATAAAATGTAATATTTTATTAAAAGATTGTTTTTTCTGATCAAAATAACATACTTGTTTTAGAAAATACAAAAATGCATACAAAATAAATAACCACCCATAATCCCAGTACCAATCAGTATGGCTTACTCTTTAAACACAGAACATTAGCTCACTCAAACTTCTAAAGTCTAGTCACACTGTCTTCTTTCAAAATACCAAAATACTGTCTTTTCCCATAGGAAATAACACATAAACAATGTATAAAACACATACTCAAATAGAAAGAGGTTTCTTTACAAAGTAATTTCCTGCAAAAATCTCCATTTTCCAAATTGCTCTGAGTCAGAGACTCTAATAAAGATTACTAAGCATTTATTAAATAACCACCAGGAGAGAACAAAGCAGAGAAAGGCCAGGGGCTCATTTCCAAATTCCCCCCCGACTCCTCATGTTGGTAGGGGCAGGGTGGCTGCTTTTCTTCCGAGCAGGAGGTTTTTCAGTTTTAGGAGCTGTAGCAAGGCGGCGAGGTACAGCCTGGGAAGGGATCTGAGATTTTAAGGAAAAGAAAAGAAATAGTGTCATATATTCTCAATCCCCTATCCCATCAAGGAAGTCATGGTGCAAGGAAAGGGTCAGAACCAATCACCACAAGGGAAAGAAAGTCCATGCTCCACCTATAACCAATCACCACAAGTAAAAGTCCACACTCCAGCTAATGGGACCAGGGACAGGAGGTGCCGGTCAATGGGGAAGCACAGCCAGCCAAAGACAGGGGAGAGATGAAAGAACTGAAGGAAATGGTCAATGAGAGCCTTGCCCTTGGTCTCTGCCTGATGCTCCCTCACCTCTTTCCGAGAGATCTCACCCAAGCGGGAGTCTGGGTTCCTTCTGGGGACATTTTCTCCTCGGCTATCAGTCCTGCCACACAAATCAAGGGTATAAGGATAGGGAAGGTGCCTACCACAATGTTACCCAAAACTGGAAGAAATACTCCAAATAAGAACAAACTCAGTGGAGTCGGGGATGAGAGATGACATTAGTGAAATCAAATGAGGTGTTAGGACTAGATAAGCTAAAGTCTAACCCTAACCCTAACCCTAGGATTCTGGGTTTTGAGTTGCAGAGTAAAGAGAAGAAAAACACTAAGGTACAGAGACATGGGGAAGAGGTTTGTTTTACTTTAGAAAAGAAAAGAGCAGTGGAAAGGAAGAGACAAAAGGAGCAGTAAGTAAAGACCTAGCTCTGCATCTCATCCTTCACTTTTCTCTTCAGAAAAGGACAAAAGACCACTCAATGACTAACATGCACACACCCCCTGTCCTGCCTGGCCCGTTTCCCTAATCCAGATTCCTCCCAGGCTTGTACCTGCCGTGTTCCAGCCTCTTCAGGTAGGGCAGCAGGTCCTCAGCAGACAGAGCCCCCCAGCCCCGAGCCTGGTACTGTCGTAACAACTGAGACACCTCCATCATCTGCCTCGAGGAGCTGAGCCCATCTGCACCTGAGATACATGTTGGTAATAATGATGGCCCTAGGGCCCCTCTCCCCACCTTCCTCCCTTCTTCCCAGGAATGCAGAGGGCCTTAAAATCCATATCCAACCCCACCCCCACCCCAACCCTAGTAAACCATGGCCTGCTTACCTTTCTCTGGGGAGCCAGTGTGGGGACCACTGCCTTGCGAATATGAAGAGGGAAGCTCATGAACTCGGAAACGACTAGATGCCATGGCTAAAGGGACTTTGGTTTTATGGACAGGAGGTGGAAGGTGAGGCACTTGAGAGGCTTCCTCCCAAGATGGCACGGTCTGGGGACCTAGCAAAAAGAAAGAGATCCAAGAAAGAAGAATAAGACAGAGCCAAGGAAGTCCTCCTATCTAACAGCTCTTAAACATCCATCCTAGATCACCAGCTTCCACCTCTCCCAGGCACATCCTCAACCCTCTTCAGAGTTGGAACTCACCACACTTGGGAGGCAACAGGTCAACAGAGGGACTCTTGTTGTGCTGAGGTACTGTCTCCAGCAGCTGGGGAGACAGGACAGTAAGGTTCTTTAGAGGACTGATAGAGAAAGAACTAGATATTGAGGGTAGTAGAGGGTGGTAAAGTAAAGGGCAGCATTGGTAGCCTAGGTTCCAGAAGAGAATTGTATACTAGGAATGAGATAAGAGTATGGAGCTGGGACAAAGAATTGTTCCTAAAGAGAAGCCATAGTCCTAGACTCATCAAATGAAAAGAGAAAATAAGAAAGGGGACAAGAAAGCAAGGTGGTCTGGGTAGAGTATCTTACCTGCTGCAAAAAATTCTTGAGGCCTTCCAGCTGAGAAGCAGGTGGCAGCCCCTGCTTTAGGAAGCCATCTCCCTCAGACCCTAGATCTGCGTCAGGGAACGGCCGTTCTGCTCTGTGATCAGGATGGAAGGCCCCGAGTACAGAGAAGTCTTCAGCTATAATGTGGAAGAGATGGGCACGGGGGTACATGTGTGTCGGGGACAGCGTACCTCCACAAACCATCACCGAACACCCAAAAGAAAAGACACTATTAAATGTAGAGGGACATCACAGCCAGGAGACGGTGACAAGCAAGGTTTAAAAGAACTGGAGAGAGAAGGGTTGGAAGTGACTGGGAAATTCTAATACACAAGTGTTAGAAGAAAGCTGTGGCTCAAACTAAATTAAATAGAACAATAAATTCCTTAAAGAACAGACTACAATGTGCCTCTCAATCTTTTCTCCTCCTCTTCCTCCTCCCTCCTCTCTCCTCCCTCCTTCTCCTCCTCCTCCTCCAATTGGAACGAAGGCCCTTGCACATGCTAGGCAAGAGCACAACCACTAGCTACACCCCCAACACTTTTTAAAAATTTTAATTTGAGACAAGCATTTGCTATGAAGCCCAGGCTACCCTCAAACCTGTGATCCTCCTACCTCAGTAGCTGGGGTTTGAGGAATATAACAGTATGCCCAGCTTCATCCCAAATTCTTAACTCACCCTAGGTCAGGTTTGTACTCCCATCCATCAGAGTGACAGCTGACTAAACCGAGGTGGACCTTGACATCCCCCGTGAGCCAATCTAGTGGATGGTTTCCAACTTACCATGTGGCCTTTTAAGTTTGACCCAAGAAAATGAGAGGCCAATGTCTCATAAATATCTAGAGTCTGGGTGTAATCCCAGCACTTGGGAGGCTGAGGCAGGAGGATCGCTGTGAGTTCGAGACCAGCCTGGGCTACATAGTGAGTTCCAGGGCAGTCTGAACTACATAGTGAGACCCTGTCTCAAAAAAATAAATTAAATCAATCAATCAATCAATCAATCTAGAGTCTGGTCAAACCCATATACAAGTCAAAGTTGTGAGGAACAAAAACAGAGTGGGGGAGGAGGGAAAGCGAGAATATATTCTGGTTTAGCAAGAAAAAGGAACAAGTGTACATGATAAGGCAGAGTCAAGGACCAAAGAGAGAGGGGACAGCTATCACAATTTCCAATGGCACCCCTGTTCTCATCCCATTAAACTGCACTACAATACATTTCCATGAGCTCTCGACTGCCTTTATCTGAATCAGTGTGAGTGGGTTTCCTCTCTTTGCAACTTATGATCACTAAGACAACTAGGAAATCTAATGCTCACATCCCCATCAGAAAGGAAGTAGGTAAGGGGGCCAATCCATCAGTGCACACAAAGGGAACCTCAGTGACTTCTGCCTTCAGTTACCTATTGATGGAGTAAGATCTGGTTTGGGCTCCAGGGGCTGGAAGGAATGCTGGCTCTGAAAAGAGGGGCCCAGCAGTAAGCTAAGGTCTGGGGAGGGGCTGCAGTCAGCATGAGGCACTCCGGGCAGCTCATCCCTGCCATCCCTGGCTTCCCGGCTCTGCTGCAACACGGGCTTCAGTGCCACAGCCACAGGAGGCATGGTCCAGATATTTCTCTCCCCCTTCTCCAGCTCTGGGGGATCAGAGCTGGAGGGCCCAGTGGGAGGAACCTAGCAGGGAGAGAGAATGGAAGAAGGTTCAAGTCCACTGGGTTTAAAGAGACAAGACACAGTACAGATACTTGAATAAGATTATAAACAACAGGGCCAGGGATTTGGCTCAGTGGTTCCACCACCTGCCTTGGAAGCGCAGGGTCCTGAGTTCGATCCCTGGTACACCCCCCCCAAAATAAACAAACAACTGTACTAGGACTTTCTTAAAAGGAGAAAGAAGATTGGGTAATTTCTAGCCATTTCTATATGCACCCCCCTTTTTTTGAGACAGGGACACTAAATTGTCAAAGCTGGTCTTGAACTCATTATCTTTGTTCCTCGGCCTCCCAAGTGCTGTGATTATAGGCATGTGCCACCATATCTGACTATCAGATTTTAAACAGCTCATTTTTGACCTTACAATTCTATCTCTAAAGGTTTTATAGGTACCTAATACAAAGACATACTTTCATACTTACTGTAACACTGTAGATGCAAAATATATGAAACTACTACACTCATCAGTAAGTGCTGGACTGACTAAAAAGTCACACAGCAGCAGACAGAAGGGGATTATTTAGGATTTGAGATGGGGGTAGAGTGGGAAGGGGAAGGAGGGCAGGTGCAAGACACCAGCTCAGTGGCTGCTTCTGAGGAGGAGACCTGGGGCGTGGAGACACAGGGACAGGACAGGGATAACTTCGCCCTGTATACCTTCTTATAAACAGTTCAGATTTTTTTTAAAACCATGTGCATGTCTATACCTACTCTAGGAAACATTTTAGCTAATAATAAAAATTTCATAATTAAAAGTAAGAGACTCCAACGTAAGAAGGGCTAAGCGTAAGATTCTACTCTAGTGCAAGACTTAGCATCAATTTTAGCCCTTACTCCCATAATTAATTCAACTGTCATTCTACCAAATGAGTACCACAGATGATTCATCATCTCTGGGGGCTGGGAAAAGTTATGCCCAGTGGAGTGGGGCCAGCTTCATTTTGGTGAGATCCTGATGTGTTCCTTACTTATGACTTCCCTGGGGAGGGAGCTAGACTTTCACAGAAGGAATCTAAACATAATCCTAGCCGCTTAGCTCTGGTGGGTGATGCCTACCGGAGGGTCAGGAAGTGGGAGGGTGGTGCTAAGCAGCTGGTTGACCTCCTCCCAGTGGGCCTGAAGCATGGCCTGGAGCCGTTCCAGCAGCTCCACCCGCTGCTCCTCCAGCTGATGGTTTCCACTCTGTAGGTCCCGTACTCGCGCTTGCTCCCGTGCCAGTCTGAAGGAAAGAGGGGAGAGTGACTCCATGCCTTTAAGGGAGCAGAGATGTGGACAATAAAAGCAAGGATGGAATGTCAAATACTTGTGACTTTGCAAGGAGCTCACCAGTTCAGAAGAGGACAGAGGATCTAGAGGGGCAGCTCTTTACCATTCCCAGTCCAGACCCACCCATGATGAAGGGGCTGAGGCCTAAAAGGCTACTCCAGGAATTAGCACCTGATCTCATAGTCCTGAGCCACCTGCTGTTGCCGTTCTTCTCGTTCTGCCATTTCCACTTTAAACTGAGCCAGCTGAGTGGCCAGTTCCTGCTGGTGCTCCCCATTAAGGTCCTGCAGCTGCTTCCTAGAAAGGCACAGGTGAGAAAACAGCGCTGAGACTGGAGACAGACACGATCAATGAGAAAAGAATGTGTGCAGATGAAGGGGAAGAGGGCCTGCTCCCAATCACCCAGCCTGGCCATGAAAAGGGAAGGACAAAGCAGGGGCCTCAGAATCAGCTCCCCAGAGGCAGAGACAAGAATTTATGACAAAGTGAGGCATTCAAGGAGCATTTCCAGAAAACAAAAAACAAAAAACAAAAAACTGGTAGGGGTAGAGAAGTGAAACTGGGATGGGGAAGAGACTTAGTCCCACAGGATAGCTCTGGAGACAGTATGGGTCACACTCTGACACACTCCCAGCAAGCGGGACCCTTCACAGTCCTGCACCCTTCAGATCATGGTTAAGGGCTCCTCCCTAAGGGAGAAAATCTGCAGGCCCTGGCTCTCGAGGTCCTGGCTGATGGCAGTAAAGCTATACTGAGAGCCAGTGGCTCGAAAATGGTAAAGGACTCAAAGGACACCAAGAACATGTGGGCAGGGCACTGACAACACCTGCTATGGCCAAGAGAAGCAGCACCAGTAAGTCCCAAGTACCTGTGATGTTCCCTTAGGGAGGCTGCTTGCCGTAGGCTGCTCTCCTGAGCCTGTGCCAGCCGCTCTGTCACCTGCTGCTCTAGTTGCACAGCCAGCTCTGACTCCATCTGGATCCGCTGGCTTTCAAATCGGGCCTGGGAGTGAAGCAAGGTGGGGTAACCACTCAATCCTGTTGCTTAGAAGACATGGAGGACATGACGTAGCCAAAATCCAGTACCAACATTCCCCTCCTCTGCCTAAGGGATGAAGAACAAGAATCTTGCCACAGGAATGAAAGAGGTTTCCCGTTCTTATTGAATGACATGTATCACATATGTATACAAAAGTAAAAATAACTTCAGATAAAATAATAATAATAATATAGATGGGGGTGGTGGTGCATGCCTGCAATCTCAGCACTTGGGAGGCTGAGGCAGGAGGATCGCTGTGAGTTCGAGACCAGCCTGGGCTACATAGTGAGTTCTGGGTCAGTCTCAACTACATAGTGAGACCCTTTCTCAAAACAAACAAACAAACAAACAAACAAAAAATATATATAATGTGTGTGTGTGTGTGTGTGTGTGTATATGTTTTCATTTTTGTTTTTTAGTTTTGTTTTTGAAATACAGTCTCACTGTGAAGTCCAGTACGATCCTTCTGCCTCAACCTCTTGAGTATTTGGGATTGACTGCAAGTGTGTACCACCACAACTAGGTTAAGAAATGTATTTTTAAAAATGTTTATTAGTACCCATTTGCAGAACATGATTACATTCATTGTGGGGAATTGATACATGTACATAACACATCTCCATTTTTTTTTCTCCCCTTGCCCTCCACCCCCTTTTTTGTTAAATTTTTTTCTTTTTGGCCAGGATCAAATTTATTTTACAAGTCTTTATCAAGTTAATTACTATAAACACAGATTAATAGCCAGACTCACATGCCAAAAAACATAAAACACACAAAACAATTATACTACTAAATCAAGGTACACTTTTATTTTACTTTTTGGTCTTTTTGAGACAGGGTCTCATATGTAGTTCAGGCTACTCTTGAATTCACTATGTAGCCCAAGCTGGCCTCAAACTTGCAGTCATCCTCCTGCCTCAGCCTCCCGAGTGCTGGGATTATAGGCATGTGCCACCATGCCCAGCTAAGGTACAGTTAGATACATTGGCTATGCTGGATTACAATAAGTTTTCTCTCTTTTATTTTGCACTTTATTTATATGTTGTGTTTCTCATATAAAAGAAATTATGCAGTTTTTAAGCTTGTGTGTCTGATTTATTTCACTTAACATTATGGTCTCAAGGTACACCCGTTTTCCTACAAATAACTGAAGTCTGTCCTTCTTTATGACAGAGGAGTACTCCATTGTGTGTAAATACCATATTTTCTTTATCTGTTCATCTACTGCTTCAGAAATGTATTAATTGCTGGGCGTGGTGGCTCATAGCTATAATCCCAGCACTTTGGAAGCTGAGGCAGGAGGACTGCCTGGAGTTCAAGGCCAGCCTAAATTACAGAGCCAGATCCTGTCTCAAAAAACAAAAACAAACAAACAAATAAACAAATTATATTAACCCAGAGAAATGTTAAATAGAGTAATCCTTTGATACGTGTTAGAAATAATATGCATGGTATCCCTAGTAGAATACCTGAAACCCAGTAACTATTCAATAAATATCCCTTGCTCCATAAATAGAGTTGGTCTACAATTGCTGTCTACATTTTCTCACATATTTCTTCAACGCACTACAATCTGATTTCTGCTACACTACTTTACAGAGCTTAAAGTCCAATAGCAAATGTTTTTCAGTCTTTGTCTAATGTGATCTGTCTAATGTGATACCTGACATCTCAAGTCAATCCTCTCTTCCAAAACTTATTTCCCTCAGCCCCACCACCAAACCTCTCCTCATTCTTTCTATCTGACAGTCTCAGCTAACCACTCTGCCTATAAAGGTTGAATGTTTCGTTCAATTCTGACCTTCTGTTCTTTTCTGCTGTGAGCTAACATTCTATGTATATAATTAACTTTTATATTTAGGTTAGGTGTTTGCTACCATTTACATCTTAACATTCCCTAAATCTCTCTCGTTAGACTAGACTTTTTTTCCAAGACTTTAAGTCCATACATTAGTGACCCAATGGATAGATCTATTTGGATACACCTGAAGTAGAAGATACTCAAAGTTCAACTCTTTTGGCTTTTACCCTCTGTAACGGTTAATCTTGTTAACTTGATTGGATTGAGAGATGTCCAGACCCAAATAAGTGACTGGATTGTGAGGGTACTAACCTCACCATTGACTAATCCATTGAGTGCATAGCTGAACTAGCTCCTGGAGGTGGGGTCTAGCTAGGGGGAGCAGGTCACTGGGGGCACACCTTTGAAGGCTACGTCTTGTCCCCAGCCCCTTCCTCTCTGGGTCTCTGCTTTCTGACCTGAGGTGAACAGCTTTCCTGTACCATACTCTTCCACTGTGGTATTTCTGCCTTAGAGCCAATTAACCATGGAGTGAAACCTCTGAAGTCAGAAGCCAAAATGTCTTTTCTTTTTTAAATTGTATTAGTCATATATTTTGGTCACAGTAACAAAAAGCTAACTAATACACCTTCAAGACTTTTCTTCCTATTATATTTCCTGTCCACCTGAGCTGTGTGAAACCTGGAGTCATCCCTGATTTCTCTTGCTTCTTTAACTCCCACTGGCCATTTTCAATTCTACTTCTTGACTTGCTCTCAGAAATTCATGTAACCTTAACACATATTTTTCACATAAAAACAAGAGGCCCAGAAAGGTCAAAATTCTAATCAGAAGCATAACTAAGTGTCCTGGCTCCTAGCTCAGCGCTCTTTTTTTAATGCTACGCCTCCACCTCCACCATGCATTAGGACAAAGCTTTCTCCTACCTTTTCAGCAAACTACAGCCCAATTCAGCCCTCCTCTGCTTGCTTTTGTGAATGAAGTTTTATGGAATATTACATGTCTGCTCATTTACATATGTCTACAGCTACTTCTGTGGTACAACAGCCCAGTGAAGTAGCTGTACCTGAGACCATACCCACAAATCCAAAAATATTTACTATCTGGTCCTTTACAGAAAAGGTTTGCCAAGCCTTGTTATATTATATGGCAAGGATCTGACTAGATTAAAGTTAAAGTTCACTGCATTAGCTAGATGGAAAGCATTTTCAAAAGTCTCGTTATATCTGACAAATAATTTGTAGGTATTATTCAATGCCAGCCCATGAGAGGTTATGAGAATCTCATAAGTACATAAAACAATCACTTTGATCTCCTGGGTCTCCAACCTACTCAGAGAGATTAACAGAAGTTTTTTAAGTAACAAGAATTACAAAGCAGACTGTTATGATTGGAATCGGATCTCTGATAAAAGATTTCAGCTGTTCATATAGTTGACGCACTAAGTGTAGTGTCATCTCTTTTAAAATAATACAAACTACCAGGCGTGGTGGCACACAACTGTAATCCTAGCACCTGGGAGGCTGATGCAGGAGGATTCCCGTGAGTTCAAGGTACACAGTGAGACCAAGGCCAGTATGAACTATATGGCAAGACACTGTCTCAAAAAAAAAATCCTAAAATAATATGAACTGTCTTGAATAGACTTTTTTAAAAAATCTTGAATAGATTTAACTTTCTTTACTCCTGTAAGTACCTCTAGGTTAGTCTGATACTATGGGAAATTGTCACTCAATGAGAAATGGCTCTGAGTGTAAGACAGAAGAAACACCTTAAGAAATAGAAACCGTTGAAAAAACCCAAAATATCTGAAATGGGATATCAGCCATGACTCCAAGGCCTCAGGACCACTTCTCTCTACCATTAAAACAAAACAAAACAAAACAAAAAACCTCTGCAGGGGGTGAAGGGAGGGCAAGGGTATGGGGAAAAATGAGAACCAAGAGCTGTCATGTGAAGGTAGAGATCCCAATAATGAATGTAACTGTACTGTATACTTAAAATGTACCAATAAACTCAATAAGATAAAAACAAACAAATAAACAAACGAAAACCCTCAAGCACCCTCTGCCTGCTGACCTGCACTAAGCTCATCTCCAGCTGCAGGGCATCTCTCTCTCTCCGAGCTGTGTCCAGTTCCCCTTCCAGCCGCCGTACCTCAGACCGCACCAATGCCAACTGCTGCTGGGCTTCCCGGGCTGCTTGGGCCTCCCTTTGGCTGTTCCCCTTAGAAGGGAAAGCAAATGTGAGACATACCTCATTTATTGTCTCCAGTTACCTCTATTCCCATCTGCCCATTCCCTAACTAAAACCCAAGTTCCTCTCTCTCTGCTCCCATGTGTACTATTTCCTCCTCCCTAATAAAGTCACTCTTTGGCCTACCATGCATTTCAGGCCCCAGTCCTTCCTGCTGATCCTAGTCTCTCAGCCTTGCCTCCCACATACAGCTCTCCACTCTCCATCCTTGTCCCTATTTATATCCCACATTCGGTAACTTTGCCCTTCAATCGTTCCCATTTCCCAAATCTTCCAAATGCTGCTTTTACCTTTTCCCTTTCCAGCTGAGCCTGGCTCTCCTCCTGCAGTGTCTGGTAGTGCTCCTTAAGCTGGTGCTCTTGCTGGGCCCAGGCCTGCTGCTCTTTTTCCAGGGCAACCTGAAGGGTCTCCAGCTTCCGATGCTCACTGAGTTGCCCAGCCCGAGCCTCATCCCGCTCTTCCTGCAGAGCACGACTCCGCTGCTGTTCAACCTCCAAGCTCAGGGTCAGAGCCTGCCTTTCTTCTTCCTAAAGCCCCATGACAAAAACAAGATCTTCAGTAGGCCCTCAAAGGATCAGCAACCTGCCACCATACAATGTGCCCACTAAGAATTATGCTCACTGAAAATATAATAGTTGATAAGCTCAAAGGATGGTAATATAGATTAGAACTCCTACCCTAGAGTTAGGTGGACTTGGATTCAAATTTTAGTCTCTATCCTAGCTATTGTTTATTTACTATGTGTTCTTAGGCACATATCTTTATCTGTAAAATGGAGACAACAACAGAGCCTGCCTTGTGGGGAGTAAAGTAAAATGTGTAAGTAAAGCATCTAGCACACTGTTTGGCACATAGTAAATACTCAACATGTAATAACTACCACCACCACCATCAAAAGAAATTGCACAAAAACTAGCAAAGCCAGTGTGTAGGCAGAAACTAGCTAAGGCACAATCACCATCAACACTGTTGGATATAGCCTGTTAAGACCACAGGTGTCAGTCTGCATGAAGCAAGCATGTGTCGTGCAAGCAGCAACTTCCAAACCCGAGTACCAACTCCCGTGGATAATCATCTCATCACTTCAGCTCTAAGAAACTTTATGAGTCTTATCCCATACTTTTCTGTACCTTTTTTGTCTGTGTGTTTGTTTTTATGATACGAGAGAGCAAGGCCTTCACAATGAGCTACGTCCCCAGCCTATTTTTATTTTGGGGGACACGTCTCACTATGTTGATAAGTTGCCCAGGCTGGTCTTTAATTCACAATTGTCCTGCCTCAATCTCCCAGTGGGATCTCACACATTTTTTGGTACACCCAGGACCAGAGTTCCCAAACCAGGCTGAATAAAATCACCCAGGAAATTTCTGAAAATACATGAATTCTAAAACTCCACCATACACTATTGAATCAAAATCTCTGGGAAGACTGGGGGTATAGCTCAGTGGTAGAGTGCTTACCCAGTGTGTGTAAGACCCTGGGTTCAATCCACAGCATAAAAAACAAAACAAAAAACATCTGTCCTCTGGGGTTGGGTCCCACAAATCTGTATTTTAAAACAATTCCACATGGGAGGCTGAGGCAGAAGGATTACTGCAAGTTTGAGGCCATCCTATACTACATAGTGAGTTCAAGGCCACCCTGAACTACATAAAGACATTATTTCAAAAATCAACCAACCAAATGGGCATGGTGGCTCACACCTATAATCCCAGCACTCGGGTGGCTGAGGCAGGAGGATTGCTGTGAGTCTGAGACCAGCCTGGGCTACACAGTTCCAGGGCAGTCTGAACTAGATAGTGAGACCCTGTCTCAAAAAGCAAAAAACAAAAACAAAAACAAAAAACAAAACAACCAACCAAACAAGCAAACAAGAACAATTCTAAAGATGGTGGTAAAGTTTTAATGAGGATATACTTTGCAGAAACTTTCAAACTCACTTGGCATCAGAGCCTTTTTTGGTAAAATATCTAGTAAAACGAGTGTTGTAAGGAACACAGCCTTGGAAATACCGACAATACTCCCACAAGTCACCAGTATCCTTTCACTCTCAAGAAGTGACTAATAGCATCCACTAAAATTATCCCATCCTAGCCTCCTTACCAGCGCCTCTCTTTCCCGTTGCTGCAGTCTGGCACCTTCCTGTTCCTGATTTAGGGCTTCCATGGCCTCTGAAAGGCTTTGTTCTAGGCGGGTTACAGTCTTCCAAGGAGAGAGGTACACAAGATAGAGAAAATGAGGGAAATTTCTCTATGCTCTATTTGAAAAATCACTAACAATGTAAAGTTCAAACTTTTTAGTTAATTAATGATTTGGAGGCCAAATACAAGGCTATATGGTGTGGGGAAAAACGGAAAGCCACAATTTGAGAGCAGAAATAATGAAAGGAGAGGAAAAGGGGGACAAGAAGAGTTGTCAGGACAGCTACTGCGAGATGGAGGTCAATCTGTTTAATTCAAGAACTATTGGGCTGGGGATTTAGCGGTGGTTCGGCCACCTGCCTCACAAGTTCAAGGTCCCAAGTTCAATCCCCAGTACCAAAAAAAAAGAACTATTTCTGTCCTTCTGTCCTCTTCTTTCTAGAGATCTTTAACCTAGGTTCTAATGCCGTATGATCCAGGTCACCTACTTCCTGCTGCTTGCTTCTGGTAAGTTCTGCCGCCTGGCGTTCCTCTTGTAGTCCCCGCAGCACTTCCGTCCGCTCAGCCTCATGCCGATTCCAGCCCTCCACCACTCGGGCCAGGGTCTCCAGAAAGGCAAATGAGGTAGAATTTCAAAATAACCTTTTGCCCTTTTTCTACACAAAGGGGCAAGGCCAACAGCCACCTTCTTCCAACAGTAAATAAATCTACCCCTTACCTCAGCAGTTTGCATACACAAAGAAATAAACCCTAATCCCCCTCACTTACTTTGCGGGGGGGCAGGGATTGAACTCAGGACCTCGCACTTGCTGGACAGGCTCGCCACCACTGAGCTAAATCCCCAGCCCCATGTACTACTCAAGGCTCTGCTTGGAGAGACTCACCACCCTTTGCTACCCTGGCACCTTGTCCAGTTGTTCAATCATGATATCCTTCTTGCGGTCGGCAGCCACAGCCACAGCTAATTGTTGCTGTAGCTCTAGCACTCGGGTCTGCAGGCTTTGAATGTGGCGCTCACAATGCTGGGAAGAAGAACAGGGAATTGAATCTTTCTCATCCTTAGTCTGACCACAGCACCAAACTGTCTTGTTTCTCTAGGAGAAAATTGGCTGAAATCAAGGAACCTGGATTCCAAGAACAGAATAGATTTGGTGAGGGAAAACCATGCATTTTTGAACAGAAACATAAGGCCCAAAGCTTCCTCTACCTTCTCAAGAAATAGGTACTTAAGATTCTTGATTCTTCCCTTTCCTGGAATCTTGAGGGAAAAAAAATCCCTTATGTCTTGTGGCAGAGGGGTGCCTGCTCACACTCAGAGTGTGGGAAGTTATTCCTGCTAAGGAGCTTACTGGATACAATGATTCAACAAACCAATAATAAAAGGAAAGACTTTCATTCATACCCAACCAGTTTAAAACATGGGAAGAGAGGATTCTAAAATTGACAACCAGGGATTCTGACTTTTCCTTGTCCTTGTCCATCTCTGTCCCCTTCAGATATTAAGGCTGAGGCTCATGGAAATAAGGCTCATTGTATCACCAATAGCTACAGAGCTTTGCAAAAGCCAGCAAGTACAAATTCCATTCAGCAAATGTGTATGGGGTGTTTCTGTGTGGTATATTCTAGACCAGTGGTGGTGAACCTATAGGACATGTGGCACAGCGGGCTATTTGTAGCATTAAAAGTTGTAAAAGGTGTACCATCACTGTTCTAGACTATAGGGAGCCAGTGATAAATAGGACAAGTTATTGGCCCTTGGCAAGTCTAGAATTTAAATGTGGGAACAAACAATATATATAAAAGTGAGATGCTATATGAAGGGAATCATAAAGTGACCTGAGTAACTATCTAGAGGGGAAATGGCATCACTTTACACAGGATGATCAAAGAGGGCTTCCTCGAAGAAACACTTGAGCAAAGTCTCAGCTTTCAGGCTTGTAACTCTCAGTCTTTTTTAGCAGTCAAGTCCCTTTTCTAATCTTTGCAGCTTTTCGAGGGAAGCTTTTCTGCCTCACCTTACGGCGAGTATGCTCTGAATCCAATGCATCTCTCAGCCCCTGAAAATCTGGGGGATTAACTGGGAGCCCCGGCCGAAGACTGGTGTAGCGGGGAAACAACTCCTCCAAAGCTTGTGCTGAGCTGGGTGGAGATAAATCTTGCAGGAGCTGGGTGCTGAGCAAAGCAGGTACAGAATATTAGGGTTAGAAAAACCTTTGAGACCCATTAGTTCCACTGTGACATTTTACAAATAAGGAACCTGAGATCCAGAAAGGGTAAGAGATGTGCACAAAATCATAAGCTAGACAAGTGCTAAAACCATAAATAGCACATAGGCCTGTGCTTCATTCCACAATGCTACTTCCTTCATACCACACTCCCTGCAGTCTCAACACAAACAAGTTAACTCTTCCAGGAGAAAAAGGACCAAGGTTGAGAGAAAGACAGGTACTAGGCAGATGCTGACCACTTAAGGTTCTGGAAACAATAAAGATGGTAGAAAATAGTAAAGAAATAACGAAAACTAAAAGCTAAGTGACAAACTTTTTAAATCCCTAAGATGTACATAGTAGTCAAGAGAGAACCAAGAATTAGAACACTCAGGTTTCCAAGAAAACACACAAGAAGAACTCACTTGAGTAAGGTAGCTGTGCTGTCACTGTCAAAGGACTCCTCTTCCCGTTTCTCTAAGCCAGCACCCGTGGTGAGGGGGTCCCCTACAGACAGCCCAAGAGACCCCATGGCTAGGGTCAGGTAAAGACTCCAGGAACAGGGATCATTTGACAAAGAAAGGAGATAGCCTTCCTTTCTCCTTCTCCCACTCCCCAACCTGGCTCCCAGAGAATGGATGCCTTTTCTCCTCAAATCTGTCTCAGAGGTCTAGGTTTCCCTTCACACTTATCTCTATTTTGCCTCACTCACTCCTTATACATCTAGGCTTTTCTTCAAAGCACCAGGGGAGGCAGGGCGTGGTGGTACACGCCTGTAATCCCAGCAATTGGGAGGCTGAGGCAGGAGGATCACTGTAAGTTCCAGACCAGCCTGGACTACACAGGGAGTTCCAGGTCAGTCTCACTATGTAGTGAGACCCTGTGTAGCCCAGTCTGAACTACATAGTGAGACTCTGTCTCAAAAAAACAAAACAAAACAACTAATAAACAAAAAACCAAAAAACAAAGCACCAGGGGAGGGGCTTACTCACGATAGGCTGCATCACGTGAGGTTTGGAGCATGGTCTGGAGTTGATCCCGCACACTTTCCATTTCAAAAATATGCTTAAAACCATCCTGGGGTGTGTGTGGGGGGGAATCAAACATAGAAATCAGGTGCAACCTGTACAATCTACACTCTATTTCCAGAATATAGTTTTTATTCAAGCACCAGGAACACTACAAAAGTGACAGACCCAATAAGGAATGTCTTAACCTTGAGTCAGACACCCAAATGCCTACTGAAGCCAAAAAAGTAGTAGTGCAAATGAGTAAAGTGAGTAGGTACAAGGGTGGTGGGGATTCTTGCCAACTAAAAAGCAAAACAAATGCGCAGTCTAAAGACTGTGTAGCCCATGGTTATCATGTTTTAAACTCTTGAAGCCCTAACCCAGTGGTGACAAACCTATGGCATGTGTGCCACAGCAGGCAGTATCATTAAAAGCTTTAAAAGGTTCACCAGCTCAGTCCTAACCAGTCTGCAGACTGATGTTGACACCTTTTCTATCCAACACAAATACTTCTCCGTAACACATTTAACTGACCAGACTATGTTTTGATGTATATGCCAAATTGAATGATACACTCAAAATAATTTTCAACTGGAAGGATTTTAGCATATTTTGCTGTTATCAAGTTCCCTTTTCCCCCCACTTGGAACCAAAAGAATTTATCCCCTCCTCTTCCAGTGCCCAGAACCCAATCACAGGATACCAACATATCCTAAAGCATAGGTGTCTTTGACAAAAAATTATCACAATTCCTCAAATTATGGTGTTCCAGATCATTCTCTCCCTCGCAAACATGTGTTCTCAGAAATATTTTACTACATAGTAAAATTTAAATTCTGCAAGCAACCACTCAAATCTCAGCAGAGCTAACTTGCAATCCCAAAACTTTCTCATGTTTAGTACTCTAGAGATCACTAAGTCACACATCACCCTCCTCACCTTTTTCTTCAAGTTGTTCTCCAATCCGACTGACAAGCTGCGACTCAGCTCTTGGGCCAGGCCTTCTAAGGCCTCATGTGGAGGTGAGGAGGTGGAGGCTAAATACAGCTGAGCTCGAGCAGTGGCCTCTGCCTGACGGCTGAGGTGCAAAGAAGTATAGAGCTGGGAGGTCACCTCAGAGGACACTTGATTCAGTCCAGGGGGTTCTGATGACTCACTCAGGAGATCCTCTGCCCGGAGAGGTGAACTGGGGCTGGTAGCTGATGTGGCCATGAGTACAGGGAGAAGACAACTGGAGACAGCAGAAAGCTGGGAACTCCTGGTCCAACTTTTGGAGAGTACAAGGGAAAAATTCACAGAGAAAGAAAATTTGGGAGAAGCGGGGAAGAGTTCTTGTTGGATCCTTGGTGAATAAAGGTATCAAGGCTTTCTGGTTAAAGTAAAAATTTCTTCTGGTTTCAAAGGCCATGGAGAGGGCAAAGACATTCCTTTCCCCAGCCCCTGGGAACGGTGGAAAAGAGGACTGCAGTACAGAGAAGACAGAGAGGAAGAGGACCAAAGAGGGGTTGCGGGTTGGGGGCAACAGGAGGAGTGCGGTTCCTTCACACAACCAGAGTGCTGCAAGTTGCAGGTAAGCTTCCGCACAGGCTTTCCCTGGCCAACTGAGCTCTTCAGTTCTCATGCACAGAACATGAGAAATAAAAAGGAACTCAGTGCCTGTCCCTCAACTGGTTCCACTGCCAAGAGAAGCAGGACCTCACTCCTGGACCTCCCCTCCTACGCTTCCTCGGATCAAATCCCTCGTATAATCCCTCCAGTCCTTCCAAGCAAGAAAGCCATAGCAAGGATCCTAAGAGTAGCTCCCTCCCTATCACCCCAGAAAAATCTTGTGAACCTTCAGTCACACCCTCAGATGTCCTCCAACCTAGCCTGAGATCTCTACCGAAACCACCCGGTTCGGATTACTCTTCGCACCTCCAGCCCTCACTCCGGAATTTACCAAGGTGGAGAGACAGACTGCCCCGGCCCCTCTGAACTCGGGTCGCTAAAGACAAAGACCCTCTTCCTCACACAGCGATCTACAAGAACCGTTGGTAGCGTCCCGCCCACAGTCCAGCCCTGACCCGCTCGTATGGAAGACGTCACGCGCCCGCGAGACCAAGCTCGCGCAGCATTTCACCGCTTCGGGAGACTGGGAGCCTGAGCGCGCTTGCGCGGCTCTGGCGCCACGGATTGGTTGAGGGAGAGAGGCGGAGTCTGACAAAAAAGCGTTACTGCCTACTGTAGCAATTTGAAGACTCAGTGGGGCGGGACTGCTCAGAAACCGGAAGTGGCTCGTAGTAATTCCGGCGCTCGGAATAACTCCGGTGAGTCCAGGGTTGGAGTTCTCACCTGGTTGGAGGGCTCTGGGGCCAAGAACGCGTTCCTGCGAAGTGAACACGGTCTTGGAGTGAGGCTCACACGTCCTGTCCTGCAGATGACTGTCCACAACCTGTACCTATTTGACCGGAATGGAGTGTGTCTGCACTACAGCGAGTGGCACCGCAAGAAGCAAGCAGGGATCCCCAAGGAGGAGGTGACTAGAGGGCCCCGTGCAACTCGGGTGACCTCGCATCTCCAAACACTGTGTCCCAGCCCACCCTTGTCTAAATTTCGTCTTGTACCTACTCCCCACTCTATCTCCCTCAACAACTGAGATCTAACTGTCGCTCTCCTTCCAGGAGTTCAAGCTGATGTACGGGATGCTCTTCTCTATCCGCTCGTTTGTCAGCAAGATGTCCCCGCTAGACATGTACGCCGTGTCAGAGGAGGGATAGCCTTGGGAATTTGGGAGGGGTCCTTTGTAGAGTGGAAAGGACTTTAGCCCCTAGAAAGGGGAGGGGAGAGGCCGACTCCAGAGCGAGAGCACTGAAGCTGGCAGGTGTAGCAGTGGGAAGTCTGAAAGTAAAGAGATTGAGGACCAAGGCTAATTTGAGGGATAAAGGTAGGTTTCTTAGCTGGGCAGGTGGCACATGCCTGTAATCCCAGCACTCGGGAGGCTGAAGCAGGAGTATTTCTTCGAGTTCAGGCCGGCCTTGCTACATAAGTGAGTGTAAAGATACCCTGAACTATAAAAGCAAGACCCTGTCTAAAAAAATTTTTTTTTAAAGGAGGTTACTTTACTCCCCCAGGCTCCTACAAATTATGTGTTTAGATGAAGAAGTTGACCTTGAGGGCATCAGAAATGTTTCTTTGGGAGAGATTATGCTCCCATCTTTAACACCCATCTTTAACACCTCTGCAGGAAGGATGGCTTCCTGGCCTTCCAAACTAGCCGTTACAAACTCCATTACTACGAGACACCCACTGGAATCAAGGTTGTCATGAATACTGACTTGGGCGTGGGACCCATCCGAGATGTGCTGCACCACATCTATAGCGCGGTTAGTGTCAGCCCAGGGGATGCTTCCTCCATAGCCTCATACCCACATTCAGAACCCAAAGAGACCCTCAGATCCTCCCCTTATTATATCTAATTATATCACGATCGAACTCAGACTTTTTGTGGGAGTCTTTAAGTTCTTAAAAACTCTCACCACCAGTTTCTCCTAAGGGAAGGCTTGCCTCCCAGCCCTCATTCCTTATGCATTCATTTAGACATACAGTTCTGAGGTTATACTAAGTTGAAAATGCCAAAGTATGCAAGCCAGTTCTTATACTCTTCTTCCCCACAGCTGTACGTGGAACTGGTGGTAAAGAATCCCCTGTGCCCTCTGGGTCAAACCGTGCAAAGTGAGCTCTTCCGCTCTCGACTAGACTCCTATGTCCGTTCTCTGTCCTTCTTCTCTGCCCGAGCTGGCTGAAGTATACTACCTCACCCGCCAGGAGAATTTGTGACTGCCTGGGACCCTCCCTAACTTTCAGCTTCTGAGGATACTATAAGTCCCTCCACCAAACCCTCTCCCAGGGCAACAGCCTAAAGCCTCTTCCTCTACCCTGCCCCCATGGGTCTCTACATTCCCAAACTGACCCGGTCTCCAGTTTTATCCCCAAGTTGACGCTTCAAGAAGCACAGAATTCAGAATAAACTTTTTGTCATCCTCTGCAGCCTGAGCGTGTCAGTTTGTGTGGGTCCTGGTTCCACCCCCCATGTAAGGCTGACTACAGCCCTGCAAAGTCTGCATTTTGCTTATGTGTCTCAAAAGCTGCATTGTTGACATTTTGAGCTGGACAATTCTTTGTTGTGTTTTGTAGAATTTTAACAGCAATTCCTGCTACCTCTTGCTAGATGTAGTACATCCCTTCACCGCCGCCCCGGTCACAGCCCTCCTCCGTTCTGCGTGTCCCCAAATTTTGTCATGTATCCCGGTGATAAAATCCCTCCCACCTAAGAACCACTGGGCAGGGGTAAGGCTGACATGACTGGGACACAGTATGAGAAACATGCTCCCGGGATCAGATGTCGCTGTTTTAGGAACAGTATTCCAGCCGCTGAGCCTCGGCAGGCGGGGTTTATGCAAATGAGCTACAGATTTGGCTGGGAGGCGGTCGGTTCTATGTAAATGTAGGGGCGGTGTCTGCATGTTGATGAGCTGGGCCAGCTAGCTGCCTACGCTGCTGGGAGCTCAGCGGGTCCCACTGCGGTTCTGGCTGAAGTGGCATCCCTCTCCCGTCACCCCTCCTCTCTCGTCCCTGCCCTTTGACGACCGCCCTCAACCTTTACCCTCATCCATTGCCTCTCCTACCCCTTGCACCAGTGCCCCCAATATCTGAATATCTTCACTCCTGGTGCTCCGGGTATTGCTTCCTCTCCTCTGCAAAGCTCAAGACCTCCCGCAGCGTGCCCCCGCGGGCCCAAGCCTGTCTTGGCGGCTCCCGCAGCAGCCTCCTCAGCCTTCCCGCTTTCCTGTGGATCACCCCACCAAGACCCGGGTTGTCCGCCCTCAGTCTTCCCTGCCCCCTCGGAGCCCCCTCCCTCGCCCTGGCCAGCCGGCATGCAGGTGTCTATCGCGTGTACTGAACAGAATCTTCGCAGCCGGAGCAGCGAGGACCGTCTGTGTGGAC